TCCCAATGTCTCAAAATAAAAGCAACACATTTACTTCTTTCCTCATGCTAATGCAGATAAATTATCTTTTTAGAATCTAGCTATAGTATGGCGTGTGGATAAAAAATATCGTTGACCAGGGTGCAGCTCTAGCTCTATTTACTACAGCTAAGCTACTGAGCTGCTCAATTTGTCATTTAAACAATGAGGTTAACTTTTGCTTCCAGTGAAAGTCAATAAGTTATAAAAAAGGTTTTTGTGAACTTTGCTTACTTTGCCATATTAGTAATTTAATTCAGAAGATAAAAGTAATGTAACTTTGTAGATTTTATAGATATGTTGATATATTTTAAGTTGTTCTTTCTGTAAATTTGAAATATTTCAATTATTTTAAAGAAACCCCAAATTCAGTTTGTCCAAAAAAATGCATTATCAATATTACATAAGGGAAATAAAATATAATGATTGTTTTAGAAATGTGATGATATGGCTGTGTTATGATCTACATAGACAAGGGAAAGGTTACTGTCACAAAAGTGGCAAGGGGCTCAAATCACAAAAGGTCATTGCTACTAAAGCTGGCTTTTCATAGAAAATTGTATCTGAAACATTAGTATAATGTTTATTGAAAGGATAATGGTCTCAAAGTCTGTGGAGGGAGAGTCAAGAGGCACAGATCCTAAGCTTCTAGAGAGTGTAGAGTTCCCACAGCCAGAAATGATTTTGCCATTATTGTTTGTCCACTGTGACCTATCAAGTAAAACGTCAGCAAAGACTTTCATCAGTAAATCTGGTGTATTTAATACTTCTGTCTTCTTTTCTCTGAGTTTTATGCAGATTTATTTTTAAAGCAAGACTGGAGCACCAATGTCTGGTTTAATAACCATGTTACCGCTGTGTTTAGGGTAACCATGATCAATAGGGAGCCCATTAAGAAGAAACAACTTTTCTCCCAGAAGAGATACATTTAAGATATTGACTATGATCCTGCAACATCTTTCCTGTCAATTTTCCTACATTTTTTAATTGAAAAAGTATTATTTTATTTTTGGAATTTAGGTTTCTATTACATTTTGTTTTTCGTTCCCTATTGTTTTGAAACACAAAACATGATCAGTTACAGATGTGTCAACAATATTTAGGATGGTGAAAGAGATGGATGTGAGCTATTTGTGTGTGCATAAATTTGAATACTGCAGATGAGTAATAAGAAGCATCCTTCACAAATTCATTGCCAGAATTTTAGGCCTGTTTTGCTTTGCACAGACAAACAAATCCATGAGCTGCAGCATTTAGCGGAATGCCAATGCCAAAAGTTGTTTCCTAGCCCACCATGATTAGCCAGGAGTGAAAAGTGTCCTTTTAAAGTGGAGAGCTGTGAGTACCTCAGCAACACACACAGAGACAGGATCTTTTCATCAGCTATGCAAATCTAGAGAGCACGTGGTTTTCTGCACATTCCAAGGTCCCCTGTGACTTTACTCTCTCCTACTTTCAGCCCTCAAAGGCTAGGACTCCATTTTCTTCCCTTCTAGTTTACTAATTAAAATTTCCGTTTTGGTCTGTTTTTTTTTTCTTCTTTTTTTTCCCCTAAAGTCAACTCAAAAAGAATATCTGATCCGGTTTTGATCATTCGTATTCCTGAACACTTAGAATCAGTCTTTACATAGAAACCTTTGATTGTCATTCCTAAATTTTACATACCAAAAAAAACAAGTTTCCTTTATCTAATATAAAAAAATTCTTAATCAAATGTTATTGAAAGAATAAATAATACTTTTATAGTAAAGGGGAATTAATTATATTTCTCTGATATGGAAAATAAAAGTGACATGTACACTGTCGAGAAAACATAAAGCAAGAGCCAACACACTAAAAACCACACAAACCTTTGTGCATCATCGACCCTGTACTTGGACCTTGACCTGCGTTTTCTTTTAAATTAGAAAAGAATCAAAATTATGCACCAAAATATTTTAAGCAGGAATGTATCACATGCCAATTATTTGTGGCTATAAATGCGGCAGTGTTTATATGTTTTATGAACACACGTTTCCCTATTAAATAAATAAATCTTTTCTTTTCTTTGCAATTGTGATTGTGTTGAATTTTTCCTCTGTCAGACAGCAAAGAAAATACCAGATTGTTTTAATTTATCTGTGTGCAAAATGTCTAAAAAAATCATGATTTAGTCCAGGAAGCAGAGAAACTGTAAAAGTCCATTGTGCACCCAGACCATAACGTTACATAAAACACACTATGGCTGCTTTATTTTTTTAGATCTAACAAGAATAATCATGTACATTATGATGCTATATATAAAACTTGCAAGGAAATTACATATTGACTGCTTGAAAGGTATTGCTTGTTATCTTTTGGACAAAAAATTGCTTGGTAACTGTAAAAAACTGAAAAAGTGTGGAAAGCCTGAGTTCCTTTAAATCAAGACTAAAAACACATTTGTTTAGGATTGCCTTCGACTGTTCTAGTTAAACAGTTCAACTAAAACATATTTTCTTTAGTCCAACTGTTTTTAACATTCTTTTTTGTTTCTGCATTTTTTATTTTATTTATTTTTTGTTTTTTTCCTACTTGCTTTGATTCTGTTTTATCTTCCTGTATTTTAATCATGTAAAGCACTTTGCATTATCTTTGTACTGAATTGTGCTATACAAATAAATTTGCCTTGCCTTGCCTTGTCTTGGTAGAGGTCTGCACTCTCCAAATGATTTTCTAGGGTTTTCGGGAGAGTTTATGTGTTGGTCTGTCTGTCTTTCTGTCTGTCTGTGTACAGCACTATCTGTGTAACTTTGAAAAATATGGACACATTTTAATTAAATTTTTATCAGAGGCATCCCTCATGCCAAGCAACAATCCATTCAATTTTGGCGATGATCCAGATCATAATCTGGATACCGAAATTTTATAAAGATTCTCTAATATTGTGAAATAGGGATATTTGGTGGAACAAGCAATTTCCCACTAAACTAGAAGGTGACAGAGGTGACCATTGACATTGAGGTATTTTACTGAAGAGAAAAACACAAGAAATTGAACATTTATTTTATGGGTATATTTTACCAGAGGTGTGCCTCATTTCAAGGAACAAATCATTTAAATTTTATGTGCGAGTTTTAGCTATAGCTATAAGTCACAATTTGGTGATAAAATAGGCTGCTTAGTGGAGGTCTGCGCTCTCTGCCGGCTTTTCTAGTTATAACAGAGACAGACTTTGGAAAACGTTTAACCCGAATGAACAGGTCCGACTGCCCAATGGACTGTCCATTCCTAGGGGCAACCCAGTTCATCTGGTTCAATTTGCATGTTTTCTAAGCCAAAACAAGGCTTTGTTTTTGGTCCACTCAATAAAGCCTCGAACTCAACGCTCTTTCTGACATTTTAAATAGAAAAAACGTCCTGGATGGCAAGCAAAAATCTTTAAACTTAGAAACACAGTCCAGTGGATTTTTTATTTTTATTTTTTTACTTTTGTGGACGTTGTGATACATTTTTTATGTTAAAATTTGCTGATGCCATTAAAATGGCTTATTTTAGGTACATCATTTCCTTTAGAAGACTTATAAAAGGATTAGGGAAGTATTTAATGATATCTGCTTTGATGTTATATAATAATTTTTTTTAATATATGACCTTACTTTAAAATAATATTTATAACAAATTAAAGTACTCTTCTTGGTTATATGACACTGAAAAAACAGTATGGAAGTGCCTGCCCGCATGTAAAGCAATTAGTTTCTTCAGCCCATCTGTGCCTACTCATTGCTGTAATGCCTTTGCCTGTGTTCTGATCTATTTAACCTCTTTCCAGCCACAGACACCTTGTCAGATTATTGATAGCAGTTCTCTATTTAGATGTCCAGAATTATTTCCCTGACAATTTTGGATCTGATGTGTATGACCTTGATTCTGCCTTTTGGATTTTGTTAATCTGCCTTTTTTCCTGTTGGACTCCTCATTTATCACTGCTCTCTGAACATGAACAATGAATTTTAGCCTCCGCCTTCAGCTGGACCCATGCCTGATGACCTAGGCTATCTATTTCTATATTTTTGACCCTCATTTGGCTTTTTGCTGTGGTGTCTCATCATGCATCAAACACAATTTGTAATCGGATGAATAGTGCTGAAAAACTGTCCTGGAAATTTCCTATGAGGAATAAGGTTCATGCGTTCTGAAGCCTATCAGCTGATTTATCTCCTAAGAGTTTTTGATTAATATCTTGCCTCCTACCAGTTCCAGATTTTGAATCCTTATTTTTTTTTTAAACTGGTGTTTTGCTTAGATGAGTGATAAACTCCCCCTGTACCAGACCTTACAGCTGTGTTTGTTCAATTCATTTAGATTGGGGTTGATGTTAAAAAGTAATAACATGTCAATAAATTACTACTTTAAGTGTATTCTTATTTCATTTAACATCCTATTTACTCAGTAGCACAAGCTCTATTTCAGGAGCCAGCTATTATAGGGTAATTACTCCATGTTAGATTATGTCATTTCCTCTGAGAAGATGAGGAGTAGAAAATGAGCCACCTCCGTCAATTAATATAAGATGAGTCGATCAGCAGAATAGGCACTGTATTTGCTACATTTTTCGTGAGTCATAACTTGATAATGTGAAATTTCCTTGTAAAGTGTCCCCTTGCTTGTCTTTTTTTCTGATAAAAGCGGTGATTAAAGGCTATGTTTCTTACACATGTAATCATTTCCTTATCGATTTGTCAGCATTTCAGGAAATGGTTTCCCTTGATAAATATCCATGTAATGATCACTTGTCTCAATTGCAGTGGTGAAAGGAAATCGTTACATAAAAGACCCCTCTGGGCAGTGTTAAAACGGTGTTGGGCAAATGCTCTAGTTCATGTGTTGACAAGTGGTTGTGAAAATATCTTTACAGCTATGTGTATAAAATGACTTGAGCACGTATAAGGGAAGTGACTGATAAGAAGTACATTTTCCTGGTTCCTCTCTTCCTCACTCCTCTTTCATTCTTCTCTTTTCAGGCTTTGAGGACGGGGGAGGAAGATGAGACCACCCAGCCCTCTCCTGATCCTTCTGTACTTCACCCTGTCCAAGGGTGTAAAGGTGGTTTCAAAGAGAGGCTCAGGTATTTATTGAACCTTATCAAAAGCCTTGCATGCATATGTTGACTGTTATACAGTATCCTAATAATGATTATGTCAAGCCATAATCCCACATAGGTCGTTTGCACAATTACTCATCAATGCCTTCAAAGTGCTGAGAGGCAGTGTTAAGAGATTGAAGAAATGAGAAGGTTTTTGTGTGTGTTTGTAATATAGTAATTTTGTATTAGGCCGGGGGGAGAAAAAAAAGTGGTCTATCTTATTTTCTGTTTGTTTGGGTGTGTGGTTTCTAGGCAGAGTTTGTTTGTCTACATGTGTTCCGCTTCTTTGTGTCAATAATTTTAACTGTAAGCTTTAAAATAATGGAGAATAACAGCTGAAAAGATCAACTTAGTTCATTGCTTCACTTTGACTCGGAAGACACCAAAGTAAGAGAAAACCTCTGCATTGGGACAGTTACTTGGGGGGAAAAAAAACTACAACTTTGGGCTATAGTTTGTTACAGATGCTTATTTAAATCCCCAAACACTAACATCAATAGATCTGTATGCTAACGTTATTATCACAACATTTTTGGAGAATAAATAATTTTTTAAACAGAAATTTACCCAGCCTTTGGTTTTCCTCTCAGCATCTTTTGTATGTAATACTGTTTTTTTTGTTTGTTTGTTTGTTTGTTTGTGTTTTTTTTTTTTTTTTGGCTCATGCAGGTTGCACAATGAAGGTCCTAGAATCCTTGCTTATCTTAGAATAGAACTTAATTTTTTTGTTTTGCATATGTGGGCTACATTCTGATACTGATACTGACTGAGTGCCTGGATGTACCTTCTGACTGTCAGGTTAATTAGGTTCTCCAAAGTGCCATTTGTTTTAAGAGTACAGTATATGTACATTACTGTTTGTGGTTTGTACCTCTGTTGTGCCTAATGATGGAATAAAGAACTATCTAGGGCTTACCTTGCTTCTTTCCCAATGACTGCAGGAGATAAGCATCAGCCCCCCACAACCATGCAGGTTTTAGCCAATAAGAAAATAGATGGATGGTTGTTATTGTTTCAGTCACCTTTATTAGTGTTTCACGTCTCATTGAACTGAATGGTTTCTATATGCTCCCATCAGAGACCTCATTAGCTGCTCCTGTTCAATAGCTCACTAACATATACAGTATAGGGAATTAGCTAATCACATGGCTGCAATTCAAAGCATTTAGGAATCTATACTTTGTGAAGAACACTGTTTGAGTTAAAGCGGACTTCACAACATCTCTACGTTTGCAGCAAAGAGTAAGTATTTACACTGCAGGAGGTTCATAGATGGACATTCATTGTTTGTGTCAAATGTCAGATGGGAAATGGTTGGAAATTTCAGAAACACAATCAGAGCTCAAATAACCACTTATTATAACAAAGGATTGCAGATCTGACAACTCGAAGCAGAGAAACTGCAGCACACCACACTAAATGGCACTTTCATTGACAAAGGACAACAAAATGAAGCTGGGATTGTTGAAAATTGGGCATTTTTTATGTTTGGTTGCATCACAGTTTGACATAAGCAGCATTAAAACATGGATCTGCTATGCCATGAAACACAAGCTCATTGTGCTGATCACAGTTTTATGTGGGGGCATATTTTCTCAAGACATTTACCAATTTAACATTGCTTGATCATTTACATATTGCGGTTAAAGAATAACTTGTGTCCTGTTTACATTCAGGATTTCCATTGAGTTTGTTCTTTATGTTGATTTAAACATTCATCAATTTTACTTGGTCTACTAGGCACTGATTAATTATCAGTTGGCATGTGCAAGATTTCTTTGAATGATACAATCAGTACCAAATCTATTAAGATGTAATTTCTTTTAGAACTATTTGTACAGAAATATAAACAGACTGGCAACCCTGCGACGGCCAGGTGTTTTTATTTATTTATTTTTTTTCTTTTCACTGCATTTCCCAATTAAATTCTCCGCCATATGTTCTGTTGACTTTACTCACTGTCACTACCAAATTTGTACTGGAAGCCTGATCTGTACCAACAGCATATTTGCGCATGTTCAAACAGATATTCACCCAGGTTGCCATAAATAATATGGTACTAAAAGTAATTATTTCTATCCTTAAATCGCCAAAGAATCTAAAATTACATCTTCAAAATTATATTTAATGACTTTCCTGGGATAAGTCGATCGTTTTTACATTCGCTCTGTTAAATGCATTTTCACCGTCATCATCAGATACGCTCCGATGAGCAGTCTGGCAGAATATAATTACAATATGTGTATCTACATTTAAGTTGTTACCTTCTCCAGTTTATCAACTATCTACCATAAAGTTAAAACGAGAGGATAAAAAAATAATAATAAATAAATCAAAAAGGCTAGATTTATGTATAAATCTAAAGTTAAAACGTTTGCTCCTAGAAGTAGTATAGGACTCTGGGACAGATCAGGTGATAAAGTGATACAAAAGAAAGGAATTAAATGCATTTATTTTCTTAGAATATAAATTATTAACCATTTATACATTGTAGTTTAGTATGCTTAGTATTTTTCAAAGTAAAATCGAGGGGGTCCCGGACGTATATCCAGTTCCGCATGTACAAACAAGCTACCGTAAGTATGCGTACGTATGCCAAATACCTGAATATAAAGTGTGCCAAAAAAGAATAAATCTTAAAAAATAAATAAAAAAATGCAGAAAACCAAGCAATTTCCCTTTCAGATGCACATCTGAGATTTCTTCAGGCCCCCACTCAATCATAAATGTCCATGCAAAGCACCTAATGAAGTTCATTGGTTATTCAAACAAACCGGCTGATCAATGTTATTCAGTGGTTACCATGGGAACCACAACCAAGACAACGGAGGCAGAAATAGATGTGGTAGTGAGTGAGGTGGAGATTCAGATAAAAATGTTTAGTAGCCACAGTAAATACGTGGAAGCCTTATTAATGAGACTTTCATGATCTGGTGTATGGACTGAACTGATCCACATTCACATCATTTTCCATGGATTTTTTTGTCAGTTGATAACAATATTAGCAGTTTAGATAGTGTACATGTTGAAAAGGCCTTATAAAGTTTTAATATGGCTTTTTCGGAAAATAGCTTAAAAAGTCTGCTGTTATGACCTGTTGAAAGTTGCAGTTGAGACCTGGTGTTTAGGGGTAATCACTGAAATGTTGCACTAAGATAGTTTAAATAATTCTGCTGATGGTGTTCATAACAATTGTTAGTGTCATTCATCACATGCATCAGAAAAAAAAAAAAAGCTTAGAAATCTGAAAGATAGGTTAGATGGATGTTATTTTCTCCACAAAAGAAGCACAGTTTAGCTTCATGAGAAGATCCAAAGTGTACATCTTTAATTCTGCCAGCTCTAACACAATACAAAGAGAACATAGCGGCTGGTGAATGATCCAATTTCTCTATGAGAGGGTTACTGTTGGGAGCTGGAGAAGTTCCACCTTTCTCCAGCAGAGTCCGCCGTGGATCCTCCTGAGTGAGCCTTCTGCACAGCTGCAGCCCATCAGATCATCAGAGGATCCACTACATAAGCTGTCTTCAGACCTTGCCTCAACGCCGCAGTGTTGATCCAGTTGGTCAGCGCCTAAGCCTAGACTCTCAGTGAATCTTTGTGACTTTGAATCCAGCCTGGATTCTAACCCTTGTCTCTGTCTTCCAGGAAACCAGTTTCTCCTTTGTGGAGCTCAGGAAGAGCTAACCTGCCGAGCCGACCCTCAGAGCCAAACCTGAAGAACCTCAGTGAACTTCCATGCAGCTCTGGACTAAGAGCTGGAAAACCCTAAACCAAGGTCTGCTCAGAACTAGAAGTAAGACGATGAAGCAGCTAATGGACTCTGCTGATCAACTCCTCTCCAGATCCAACAGTGACCCTCTCAAAGTCATCTACTAGAACCCTCAAGGTACAATCAATTACAATCAAGAACGCAAGCTCCAAGGTGCAACGCTAACTGAACTGTCTCTCACGCAGACTCCGGTGAACCAGTTTCCAGGCCCCGAACCTGAACCAGTATATTCTGTGTGCTTATGCATCAATAAACTTGTTAAACTTTCATCCCTGTGTCCGTCAGTGGTGTTCTGCATTCTTGGGTCGCTATTAGTGAACCCATCATGACAGAACACTGCGGCCAAACTCAAGGCCCAGCAGATCACCTCACCCGTCGCTTGGAGGAGCAGGATGCCCAAATCCAAGGACAAACCCAAACGCTCCGTGAGTTATATCGCTTGGTTGATACTCATAATCATATGCTTCAGAGCTATGCTAACTACTTGAACAGCGCTAATGCTGCACGGCACCTCAACCATTTCCGGGTCCAGTTCCTCCTCCGAGGTCACCAGCAGTGACGTCACCCGAGTTCCGCCCAAGTCTTCCAGAGAGATTTTCTGGTAACATGAAGGATTGCAAAGGATTTTTATTTCAATGTCGTTTGATTTTTCAGAACTCTCCAGGCAGTTTTTCCACGGATTATAAAAAGATAACTTTCATCCTTTCTCAGCTAACAGGAAGAGCCTTGGAGTGGGCTCAGGCAAGATTTGCCTCCGACGATAGCCTCAATTGCTATTACTCTGACTTCATTTCCGAATTTACCCAAGTATTCAATCAAGAACCTGATCAAACTATTGACTCTCGAGCTCTTTTCAATTTAAAGCAGGGAAATTCTTCTGTGGCAGAATTCTCCATCAACTTCCGGGTTAAAGCGGCAGCTTCCGGATGGAACCAAAGCGCTCTGAAGGGAGCCTATTTTATGGCATTAAATGAGCACATTAAGGATGAGCTCGCAAGTCTCGACGAACCTGCCACCCTCGAAGAATTAATTAGTTTTTACGATCAGATAGGATAATAGAATCCGTACCAGAAACAGTTCTAAATCAAGAAATCAGGGGACACTTTCCTCTGCCTCACATAACGTGACTGTTTGTTCTTCCCCCACAGAGCAGCTGCCCATACAGAGACCTAAGGCTCAGTCTCTCCCTCTGCCTATTCAGGCCTCTCAT